TCTGTCTGTCTATCTATCTATCTATCTATCTCCTTCTTTCTCTCTCTCTCTCTCTCTCTCTCTCTCTCTCTCTCTGTGTCTCTCTCTCTTATTCACTTCTACTTATTAATCTATCCCTTTCCCAGCCTTCATCTCTCTCTTTTTCACTGTCGCTCTCAAACACACACATACACACACACACATACACACACACATACTCACACACACCCACACTCACACACACACACACCCATACACACACATACACACACACTCACACGCACAAACTCACATGTTGACTCACCAAAGCTAAATATAAACTCCCCCTTTGTTCTTGCAACGATCCTTTTGAATATTATAGAACAGTTATGTGAAAGAAAGCTTCGGTAAGAAAGAACTGTATGTTGAAAATCACATTTTTGAATACGGATATTTTCTTCTTACTTAAAAAGGTAAACCACAACAAGTCACTTGTCAGTTTGTAGTCGTAAGTGCCTTTTGCAACAATGCCAAGATACATTCCAATTCTTTTAAACCTTAGATAAAACAAAAACTATTTTCGTATTCTTCGTTTTTGTAACTTCGGTGATGTTTGATTGTTTCGACGTTTTATGTGGTCTAGGTGGAATTTTAGGAGAAATCACGTAATCGTAAAAGAGAGACAATATTATACTCCATGATAAGCAAACAGACCTGAATCAACGTTTATGTCATCGTAAATGTAGTACGAGGAATACATAAACTTGATAAAAATAAAGGAGATTCGAAATAATAAATATCTTGAAATTTCAGACGTAGTTCGGGGTCCACTTTCTCTTTTATTGTAAAGACTATAGACGTTTTACGTCCTTGTCGATATAATTTAGGCCATTTAAGAAGCTGGCTGCTTTCACCCCGTTTGTCAGAAATAAACTGAGGCTGAGTTGGGTGCAGTGTTCCAGTAGACGGATTGATGGAAATATTCTATAAAATATAACTTCCCCTTGCCTGAATTTAACACTCTCTTCTTTTGCCTGTAAATTGGAAGAGCCGAACAGGTGCTTTTCTGTCTGGGCTGAGAGTTGCCAAAGTAAGCTGAGCTGAGTATTCTCTGGCGCTGTGTGGCCCGTGATACACAGCAAAAAAAATAACCCTCTACCAACACGACTTGTTACATATTATTATTTATTAATATTACATATTATATATATATAGCAGCCCTGGTTCCCACAGCATGCCCTATATCGAGCACAAATGAAAATTAAGTGAATTTTGGAAGGATTCTGATTGCTGATTACTAGTGTGTTCTTTTGCAATTTGAAAATAAAGACGAAAAATCAAACAATTTTTTATAACGAAAAAGACCCTTACCTACAACACATGTTTGATGGATTGAAAGAAATTCAGATTTCCGGAATGGAATTTTGTACTACATGTAATTATCAACATCTTTATAAAATCACGAAATGCTGCTTGTTATTTTATGCCCCCTCTCGTTTTAATTGTTTTCTCCCCGGCAATGTTCAGTTCTTCTATTCAAGATTCAAAACCCACCAACATGTTGGGTGAAGAGTTTTTGCCTGCGTCCACACCCAAAGCAAGTTTTCACACATCACAAATAACCCTGGTAACTGCAGTTGGATTACTTTTGTTTGTTTGATGGGTTTTATTCTTATTTGTGAATGGTGCCGACAAAATGATTTACTTCTCGGATTCGAGCCCTACGTAAATAGATACATCAAGCTTCTAGGTGAAGTTTTTACTTTATATAAGTGTGAAATAATAAAAGGCATGATATACTTAAAGAATATGGCATCAATAGAAAATCTTCAGATTTGACCCGCGTCGATTTTTGGCCGATATCTCCATCTGTGGATTGCGAGAAGTAACTCATTTTGTCAGTACACCTCACATTTGAATAAAATGTGGCTTTATTCCTTCCATGAGATAATTTTTGGTCATTTCGAAGGCGGGTCACTCATTCCTTCACCGTAACCCTAAATCGAGTTTTAAGAGTTCGATACATCAAATCAAATTTAAACCGCACTCATTTTCGAACTCCAAACTTTTTTGGAGTATTAATTAACTAAGTTTGCCTTCCCACTACGCTTGGCTTCCTTTTCTTGCTCCTATACGAATCTATTATTTGTCACAAATCCATGAATGATTCCTGGGTTTCACCACACTGTAGACATGTTGACATTATATTTTACAAAGACTTTGTGAAGGCTGTGATCAAACAAAGGAAAGTGAGTATTTGAGACGAACAAATCTGAGCTGACAACAACGTTTAAAGAATTAGGTATCTTTTTCAAAACAAATATGCTCTTATTGTTCATAAAATGTGTATAATGTTACCTTTTCTGAAGTCTTGATTCCAGCTGCAGCATAGAACTAGAGGCACCAGGCTCATTGTTCACCACGACCTCGACTTCATTGAGCAAACCATTCACTCTGGGGCTCAGTCCAGACTCCTGTCCGACTGGCACGTCTAGACCACCACCCATGGAAATGCCTGAAGGTGCCGAACCGTCCACGAAGGGGGAAGGGGCCACCCCGCCCCTGTTCACCACGCTGTACTTTTTACGTCTCGACTGCATTGTTACAGCGACTGGGCACAACACTTATCTAAAAATGTTATCGACAAACTTTGACAAATCTGAGTCCATAGATCATCCTCACTGACAGAGGAAAGTGACAAAGAGGTTTGAATTGCTTTCCGATTTCTCGAGTAAATACTCGAGGTCTCCTTTAGATGGCTCTCTTGTCCCAGGGTCCTCGTCCTCCCTTAGAGCCAAACTGACGTCCCAGCGTTGCACTGGAGGATCTCATTGTTCTGTGTCTTGGTGTTGAATCTGGCGTCGGGAGGAAATCCAGCAGGAGATAAGGCACCCTTAGTCGGGTGAAAAATCTGCAGGAGATAAAGTAAACAGCCATATAGATACCTGTTGTTACAAAACACACGGAGATAATGGATATCTAAAAGGCATGTTGAGCAATCTGTTTGTGCAAACAGGAGGGCAATACATTGACCACTGTTTGCTCATGTCAGCATTTTGCATGAAGGGTGGACAGCTCGCATTGCTTTGAATTTTCTTTTTGCTAATTGTAAAGATCTGGGGGGGGGGGGGTTGAGGGTTGAGCTGCTGAGGTGCTAATGGGAGGAATAGGTATTGGTGAGGCACTGGATGACGAGAAATGTAGAGGGTTATAAAACTAAAAGCACCAGGCATGCCGCGAAGATGAGAGATGGTTTGTGAGTTCGAGTCCAGTTAGTGGGTAGGGAAGATACTTATCAATATTAGTATTTGTCTTTCTGCTGGGATACTTTGTCCGCTTCAACTGCCCAGAGTTTGACATGACAGGCACGATCAAAATAGTGTCAATGGGAGAGTGAAACATTTACAATCATTTGATGTTCAAAGTTTAAAAACAAACTAGTGAAAATGTATACGAAAAATAGTGTGCTTATCCGTGCCTTTCATAATTTGTTTTTTCACAACTCCTGCTCTCGTGCTGGATATAAGTTAAGCCTCTAGCCTCGGGCTCACCGCCAACAATTTACCGTCAAAAACAATCAAGAAATCCAGGCTTCAGATCTTTGATCTTTTGAACAGTAAACAAGTGTTTTGCCAGTTGGCAGCAGCTTTGTCGTGCGTGCCGTGCATTTACATAAACATGTACTTACGAGGCTTCTTTAGGATAGTTTTTCGATGGGCGAACAGGAGCAGGAAGAGAATGGAAGTAGAAGAAGAAGAAGAAGAAGAAGAAGAAGAAGAAGAAGAAGAAGAAGAAGAAGAAGAAGAAGAAGAAGAAGAAGAAGAAGAAGAAGAAGAAGAAGAAGAAGAAGAACAACAACAACAACAACAACAACAACAACAACAACCACCACCACCACCACCACCACCACCACTACTACTACTACTACTACTACTACTACTACTAGAGAGAGAGAGAGAGAGAGAGAAGAGAGAAGAGAGAAGAAGAAGAAGAAGAAGAAGAAGAAGAAGAAGAAGAAGAAGAAGAAGAAGAAGAAACACAACAACAGCAACAACAACAACAACAACAACAACAACAACAACAACAACAACAACCACCACCACCACCACCACCACCACCACTACTACTACTACTACTACTACTACTACTACTACTACTACTACTACTACTACTACTACTACTACTACTACTACTACTACTACTACTACTACTACTACTACTACTACTACTACTACTACTACAAACAGCATAAAAAGCAAAAGCAGAATAAAGAATGTGAAAACTGCATTCAATGTTACATTTAATTAAGGACTTATGCTCGTGCAGACAATAATATTACCGACAACTTGTTATAATTATGTTACATTTCCGGACATGCCTAATTTTAATGTTTCCATAATGTCCGTGTACTGACAAAAGGGACATTACATATGTCGTTGATCATTGTTCTAGTGAAAACTATCAACCTGGAGATTATGAACACAAAAACTAATCGATAGGTAAGGAGTGGCAGTGATTTGGATCAAATCTCCAGTCAATAAATAATACAGTATATTTTTCAGACAAGGCTTCAGGCATATTCTGAAAAAGACTTTAGTTTAAGTTCAAGAATCCCCCCCCCCCCCCCCCTCTCCAACCATTCAGGATTCGATTAAAGGTATCCCACACTACAGTCAGCCATTACACTAGTTCGGCAGCTGGCAAGATGCCTCAAATTTAACAGTCATAAGGAAAGTAGACAGGAAATGTGTTTGCTTTTAATAAAGAACGACCCCACTCATATTGTGTGTGTGTGTGTTCATTGCCCTTATCAAAACAGCACTTGTATTAAAACACGTACCTTTCCGATTCATCGATTGTTTTTATTCGTTGCTGCTGCTGCTTTTGTTATTACTGATGTTTTTATTTTGTTGCTGCCGCTGTTGGGGTTTTTTTTTTGTTTTTTTTGTTTTGTTATTGTGTTTCGTTAGGGAGGGATGGGTAAGGTTAAGGACAGGATAATTGTTCTGTCTTCTTTATTGTTTTTTTATTATTATTGGAAAGATGGAGGGGAGGACGTGTTGGAGCGAGGGGGGGGGTTGAGGGGAAGTGTCCATTTGTATAGGTGATTGCCTTATACA